TCTTGTGCTATTCTTCTAGAGTTAAACTAGGTGGGAAACTAAAGTTCAGACCTTTTATCTGACAGTCCAAAACAACGAAAATTGGCGTACATGGATAATTGGAAAAAACAAAAACCTTGCTAAGTAATAAATCATACTTTTTTGTTTGTGTGGCTGACCAGCATCATAGGAAACGAGCAAACTGCATGATGTATTCTTAGAATTTTTTTCATGTCTGAATGATGTAGAAACTGTAGTTTGGTCGTATTCCAGTCTGTCAGATCAAAATAGCCGATGGGCAGACCAGCAACATAGGAAACGAGCAAACTGCATGATGTATTCTTAGAATATTTTTTCATGTCCGAATGATGAAGAAACTGTAGTTTGGTCTTATTCCAGTCTGTCAGATCAAAATAGCGACGATGGGCAGACCGCATCATAAGAAACGAGCAAACTGCATGATGTATTCTTAGAATTTTTTTTCATGTCCGAATGATGAAGAAACTGTAGTTTGGTCTTACTCTAGTCTGTCAGATCAAAATAGCGACGATGGGCAGACCAGCAACATAGGAAACGAACAAACTGCATGATGTATTCTTAGAATTTTTTTCATGTCCGAATGATGAAGAAACTGTAGTTTGGTCTTACTCTAGTCTGTCAGATCAAAATAGCGACGATGGGCAGACCAGCAACATAGGAAACGAACAAACTGCATGATGTATTCTTAGAATTTTTTTCATGTCTGAATGATGAAGAAACTGTAGTTTGGTCTTATTCCAGTCTGACAGACCAACACAGCGAGGATAGGCAGACCGATCATAAGAAACGAGCAAACTGCATGATGCATTCTTCATGTCTGAATTGTGAAGAAACTGTACTTTGGTTGGATTCCAGTCTGACAGAGCAAAACAGCTAGGATAGACGGACCAGGATGATATGAAACTAACAGTCAGAAAGTTGCATAGTTTTAAGATATCTTTTTCAATTTTGAGATTTCTCGGTGTTGTCTGTGGGATGGTGAATTTATCATTTGGTCGATTTCGCGTCTGACAGATCAAAACAGCGAGCATAGGCGGACCAGAAAGATCGGAAAGAATCAAACTGCAAGATGTATATTTTGTAAAATTTCTTTTTGAGGCCAGCTTAGTAATGAACCTTTAGTTTAGTCATTTTCGCGTCTGATTCATCAACCCAGCGAGGATAGGCCGACCAAAATGATTGGTAAAGACCAAGTTACATATCTTGATGTATGGGAAAATAGTAGTTTGGCAATTTTCGCTTTTGACCGTGGCTGAAAATAATAAACTGCAAAATGCGGTTTTGTGATATTTATATTTGAAGCTTTCGGGGCGTTGAAAGTATGTTGTGGTAGTTTATTTCAATCTTATTTATTTGACTAAGACTGTTTAGTACAAATTTATATTACAATAAGAACAAATTAAATTAAAAATTAAACTACTTCGTTTTCAACTCAAAAGGTTCAAAGGTATAAATCAAACCAAACAAAACTATTAAACTATTACTTTTAAAAAGAGCATAGTTGTTATACTTGAGGCACAAAATTGACAAATATAAGAAACAAAATAAAATTACAAATAAATCTTATTTAGGTTTATTCGTAATTGTATTTGGTTTCTTATATTTGTAATTATGCTCTTTTTAATAATAATAGTTTACCAGTTTGAGGTAGTTTTTGCGCAAGACAGACTCATTCAGAAATTTGGCGTACCTGCATAATTGAGAACAAATAAACCTCAAGATTCATCTTTCTAAGATACCTACGTGATGTCCGATAAGCTATAGAACTATAGTTTTGTCGTATTCGCCCTTGACAGCGAGGATAGGCGGACCGCATTGGTCGGAAACTGACAAACTGCAAGTTGCTATATTGTGATATTCCTATTTGAGGTTTGCGGGGCGGTTTAAGGTCTGAAAGACCAAAACATAGAAAATTGGTGTATCGGGATGATCGGAAACGAACAATCTTGCAAGATTCATCTTTTTAGGATATCTTCTAGTCAGCGAGGGGATTGAAGTGAAGTGTAGTCGTACTGACGTATACTCGACCAAAACAGCGAGGATAGGCGGACCAAGGTGATGATAATAAATGAACAAACGGCAAGTTGCATTTTTGTGATATTTGTTTTTGCAGTTTGCAGGAGTTAAAAATGTATCGTAATTTCTGCGCCTGAAAGATCAAATAAGCGAAAATTTGCGTACCTGTATGATTTGAAACTGCAAGACTCCTTTGAAGAAATTTTCTTTCGGTCTGCGAGATGATGAACCTGTAGTCTAGTCGTTTTTGCGACAGACAGATCAAAAAACTGCAATACTATGTGGGCCAGCATTATAGGAAGCATACAGACCACAAGATGCATTCTTTCGATGTTTATTTTTGAGATCTGAGAGGTGATGAAACTAGTCGTATTCGCGTCTGACAGAGCAAAACAAAGATAATCGGCGTACCGGATAATTGGAAACAAACAAACTACAAGGTTTTATTTTAGATATCTTCATGATACCCGCGAGGAAAATGAACCTGTACTTTGTTTGCTCCCGCTTCAGACACTAAAACATCGAGGAAGGTGGAACCGGATGATGGCCAACGACGAAACTGCTTTTTGTGAGAATTATTTTTTAAAGCTTCGAGATGATGAACCTTAGTTGGTTCGTTCCGATCACACTGGTCCGTCTATTCTCGCTATTTCGTCGTATCCAACAGCTACACTATGTAAATTCACTAATTATGTTCAATTTGTTTTAAAATAACAGAATCTTTTCAAGAGCCATAATACATTTCAAAGAGTAATTTTTCAGCGTTTAGCTAAAAAGTGATTCTCGCGCTATTTCAACAAATTGATAAAGTCGAAATTGATTAAAAAGGAATAATTTTTTAAACCTTTTTTAAAGAATATTAGCATACAGAAAATGTTCATATATAAACATGAATTTTTTTTTTTTAGAATTTGCTTCATATTTATTATCAGCCTATTTAAACAATTAGTACCTGCTTAAAAAGCAATTGAGGATCAATCTTTGTCATGGTTTTCAAACGAACTTTTATGGTTTGTGGATGATTAAATGGTTCGGTTACAATGTTTGTTCTTTTTAGCTATTTAGTAGTGTCAGCCTTGAGAAAGAAATTGATAGATAATCGTAGTCTACCTAGACCAATAGAACATATCAATCTTGAACACTAACGGGCATATTTTTTTTTAGGGGGGCATTGTATGTCAATACTTTTGTACTTATGTATGGTGAGCTCTGAAGATGATCACAATAAAGATCGAAACGTTGGCACGATAAAGAAAATGTTTTTCTAAAACCTACGTCACACCAGACCGCATCTCACGATCTCCGAATAATTTTTGTACTTATTTTGAATTAAAAAATATTAAGAAACCAAGCAATATTTAGACGTTTATTACGAAGAAACAGAACTATCGTTGATGAAAGACTCGTCGGATACCTAAACGTGTAAAAGATTAAAAATATTTTTTGAAAAAAAAAAAGTCTAACAAAAATTGTTTTACGGCCGTGGGAAACTTCTTGATTGTTCGTCAAATTTGATGTCTAATATTTTTTAAACAAAAACCGTGAGAAAATGAAAATCAAACCGTTATGAGTCAATGTCCCGGTATTTGTAATAATAGGCACCATTGGCCGATCTATTGACATGTATTTTTTATGAAAATGTTTCAATTAAATTTATTTCAATTGTACCGTAAAGTGATAATCTGATAATGAATTGTAGTAATTAATCCTTTACGATCTACGACAAACTCCTGGGTTACTCAGGCTTCCCACGATCTTTTTTCTTTTGTGGTGTAATGCTAAATTAATTATTGTTGATTTGTTTAACATAATCAATCGTTCTATGATATACTGTAATGACTTATGGTCATTTTATTTTTGTAATTGACGATATGACATAATGACGATTAATCGCGTATTTTCGATTTGTTTGACCTATTTACTTCAGAGCTGTTGCTTCATATGTGCTATCAGTCAATTTAAACCTTTAGGACCTACTTAAAAAATACTTGAGGATCAATCTTCGTCATGGTGTTAAAACGAACTTTTAGGGTTCGTTGATGATCAAATGGTTCAGGCAGGTAATCAGGTAGTCTGATGGGCAACGATTATTGCTGACTGAAATGACGGATAGACCAATAATTAAGCCACTTTTTGACTCTTTGTTGTTTTAATTTAAACAATATTGTTTTTATTATTCACTTCGTGATTCACAATTTTAGCGTTCAAGACAGTGGTGCAATTCCATTGACCTATTTTTAATTGTACATAAAAACAATTGTCAGTTTGCAATGAAAGTATATTCCTTTGTAAGAAACTACGAAACGGTTTGAACCACTTCTAACGGAAAGCTTTATCTGAAAGTGAAAATCGTGTGATAAAGCCTGGGAAAACATATACGAAACACGGTTTTTTTATATATAGTGGCGTTTATTATAAATTTACATGACACCTTTTACTCAGTGGAATCGTTCAGAAACAATACAAAATAAACAATTTTCATTTTTTTTTGCTTTTTTTTAATAAAACCTCAGTCATACCGCTTTTCTTAATACTTGGTAACAGATGGTAACTTGCAACTACTGGAATACAAAAAAAGAAAAATTTTATAAAAAAAAGAAAGAAAACTTGAGATAACTATTTGGCTATCTCATTCGAAAAATAATAAATTTTTCAAATATTTGTCATTATTATTTACATATAATGAAGAAAAATAGTGTATAAAAATTAAAAATTAACATACAGCCTACACCCAAAGAAAAATATTTTATTTTACATTTAATGTATCTACACATTACAAAATTAAAAAGAAGAATAAATGTAGGGTGATACAACTCGTTTGCAATTCCATTGTCGTTTTCCTTCTTATTCAGTATCAATTTTAAATTTGAGAAAATATATATTTTGAACTCGGTTTTGCAATGGATTTGCAGTTTATTTACAAAGGATATCTAGACAGTTTTGATATTCTCGATAATCTTTCCGTCTTTAGACTACTTGGCACAATTTGAACAAAAACCTTGTTTTTAAGCTTAACTAAGAAAGATAAATACATCTTTTTTTATATTTTATTTTAAAAAATAAACATCCCGTAGCATCAGTCATTATACGAAAAAACATAAAAATAGTAATAAATCCATATCGAGGAGCCGTTTCAAACAGAAACGAAACCTTTTTTAAGTACAAACAAAAATAACCAAGCGGCGAGGGAACTATTGAAAATAATCACTGAAAGCCCGCAATAATATGAAAATAAAAATATTAAAATTATTTTCTCGCCTGTGATAAGAAATCAGATCCTCGATAGAATACAATAACATTTTCCATTTTATAAATCGTATTGTACATATAAAAATGAAACAATATCTTACAAATATTTTTTAAACATAAAAATTAAACAAATAAAAAATTTCAAAGATAAAAATAACATGAACTTTGTACAATCACTTCTCCATACCATAAATTATATATTCTTTTGTACTTATAAACCTTTCCCCCCTTTCTCTCGGAAGTTGCTGTACTTTTTACAATCTATGATATGATTATTAAGAATAACACCTTAATTTTCGATTGTTATCTATAATTATTAACATTGATATTGTAATTAAGTAATAAAATATTTTGCCTCTCAATTTCATCAAAAAAATGTACAAGAAATTTTATATTCCATAGATCGTTGGAATGGCTTCTGTCTTTAACATAGACAATGAAAGAAGAAAATATAAAGTACATTAACGGTAAATAGTATATACACGAAAGAACTACAATGTGTTTAAACAACTTTCTACAGCTTTTCGAAACTTCAGTTTTGTCCTGTTTAATCTAAAGGAAAACTTATTTGAATTTTGAGTAAACACAAGTTAGTTCACCGTCTCATTTTACATATCACAAACGGAGTTTTGGTTCTTCTCACCTGCGTCACATGTAGGTGGTGGACGCTGGACTGCAGGGGATGTTTTCGCGACCTTCCAGCCTCTTCATCAGCGCCTCGCATCTCAATTTGTACATGTCGCGCTCTTGAGAGATTCTCGAATGGTCTTGTTTTATCCTGTGCAGTTCGTTCTGCAGGCTTCTGTTAGTCATTTCCAATTCGTGTCTCTGGTGCAAGCGTTTGCTCCTGCAATTCTGGGCGTAGCCGCGGTTTTTCAGCGTGCGCCTCTTCTGCTTCAACCTTACGACTTCTTCTCTGGGAAAGCCTTGTAGTCGTTTGTTGAGCTCCCTGACGGTAAGGCACATGAGCAGTTCGTCGCTGATTATATCCTCGGCGGAACTTCTACCATCACTCCCTTTCATCGGCACTGACATCTGCATCTGCATCTGCATAGAATTCTGCATGGGGGTCGAAGGGCTCATTTCCAGATCGTCGTCTGGATGGTGATGGTGATGGTGGTGTTGGTGGTGGTATTCTAATATCCTCTTGCCCGGGTTTATGACCGGACCGTGTTGGAGTTGAACCCAGTCCTCGGCGAGGGGGTCTCCCCCGCAGTTGGGCCTCAGATCGAGAGGTTCCTGCCTCAGAGGACCCCCGTTGGCCATTATCCATCCCATTTCGTCTACCACACCCTGGGGAGGCCTCTGCGGCAGCAGGAGTTGCGACTGTTCCAGGTGGTACTGTCGGTTGGGCGGCGAATGGGGCGAGGTGCTCTCCGGCGGGGTGTCCGGAGGAGTCCCCGGTGTGTCAGGGTAAATACTGTGCTGCATCATCATCGGCTGATGCTGCGACGACATGGTCACGACATTGTAATCCTCAGATTGGTGTCCCGGAGGTGTAAGCAGGTGGTGATGAGGCTGCGGCGAGCTCATCTGCACCACGCCTCCTCCGCACGATAACATTGAGGGCAATCTTTCCATACCTCCTTCCTTCTTCACGGAAACGTCCTCTAAATGGTCTAGAACGAATTCCTGTACGTATTGAGCGGCAAGTTGTCCGTCTTCCGCTTCCATTTTATCTGACGAGTTTTCCATCAATAACCGAGTTCACATCATGCACTCGCGGTATATCCCAACAGGACGAAATCGGCACTGAACGCTTTTACTCTCTCTCGGCGAACATCCGACGACTTCTGCGCTCTTCGAACGGGCTCCAGGTTTTGAGCGGCTCTGGAGAGAGGCGGAGTCGGATAGCCACCCGTTCACCTCATTGGTTCTCTTTCACCGCTCCACACTTTCCACCACACCCACTGCCACCACCTCGAACCTCGAACGGTCGCCACCGCCGCGCGCTATCCCACCACATCACCAATTCGCCCCATCCGCTCATCTACATTACACCTATTATCACGCCGCCCTCTCTCCTTTCCCACTTCCCTTAACGCTAAACATATTCTCTCGACGGTCAAGCTTTTTTTCTATTTTTTTTCCTTTTCAATCATATGCATAGAAATGTTTGAAAACTTTTTTTTATCTCAATCCTTGCGTCAAATTTTGAATTTACGTATTCCAGTCTTACACATTACCGTATTATCATATTAATCGTATCTTAATCACGCTATCAATTTCTCAATCCATTCCGATTTCCTAGAATGATCTTGATATCAAGCATTGAAATGAAATAATACAATGCTTCTTTTCTACAAAAATTGTCGTAATGTTGAAAAAAGGATACCTAATTCAACCTCTGTGGTACACACACTGGGACGCCCCAGATAATTTGTCAAAAATTCAAGATCTTATCGGAAATTGAACGCTGAGTAAAAAAAAAACGTTTTATAAACCTGGGTCCACAAAGCTTCCGTACAAAGCTAGGGTAAAAAAATTCAAGAAAAAACACGTTTTCTGACCTTATTTGCGAAATAGTAATTAAACCGATACTACTACGATAAATCAACTCGAAACAACATTCATAGTGCATTTATTTCAGCGTCGAATGAGAATAACACCAACATGATTGGTTCAGAATTATAATTTTTGTGATTTTTCAAAGTCAGGAGAGGTTGACGCCGTATCAATAACGTATGACAGCTCGAGGAGGGTACATTGAACCGTGATTAACATTCAATTTTATTATTGACAAACTTCTGTAATTTTTTTAAAAGAATAAAATGTAATATTCATTAAAAATTGCGTACAGTTTCAAAAATTGTTAAGAAACCCCTTCAGGTTTATCAATACTCAATGTGGGATACACATTAAAAAAAAAGAAGGATTTTCGATTTGTGTGAAAAGTAATAAATTTGCCAAAATTGGAATGTTTCATCAATTGGACTGGGGTTGGCCTAATTTGACGGAGAATTCCATCAACATTTTTAGTAGGGTGCATCTTTTGAAATTTATTTATAAAAACAGTGGATTTTTTGTGCGTCCCCCTTTTAACTTTGAAAACTTGAAAACGAAAATTATAATTCTCAACCAATCAGGCTGGTTTTAGTATCATTCAACGCTTAAGTAAATCCACTTTCGAGTTGTTTTATGGTAGTAGTAACGGTTTACTTAATATTTCACAAATAAGGTCAGAAAACGGATTTTTTCATGGTTTTTTAACCCTGGCTCTGTACTTGAAGGTTCTCCGGACCCAGGTTCTTTTTTACTCAGAGTTAAATTTTCTATAAGATCTTGAATTTTTGACAAATTATTTGGGGCCACCCAGTATACAATAACTGCTTCCTTATTTCTAGTTTATACAACCGTTTCCTGGGCAAGATTGTTTTATTAAAGGCACATTTTATTTCAAAGAATCGTCCCAAGATTACAAAAAAAGAAATTATATTTGAGCTGGGATCGATTAATAGAGAACATGAACTGATGATTTTAAAAAAATCACATAGAATAAAATCTTTACAAAATCGATTTCTGAGTCGTTCGGTGTTTTGCACAATATGGAAAATTAAAGTCTAAAAGGATAAAAGACCTCGTTACCTATCACAGCCGTCAAGCGTAATTCAAGATTAATTAATAACAACCAAAACAAAAGTGTTGAGAGTTCGCAGAACATCCTTGGCTGTAAGGATCTACGCATTCAAAGCTGTTTTGATCGAATTACAAACTACGTCTCAGCCGCCGACCGGATGAGACAATTTAAAACGAAATTTTCCGAGGTCTATTCTTCACTGGGCGACACAAGAATGTTTACTATAGAAACGTGCCGACATTAAGTACACAATAAAGTGCCCAGTACTTAAAATTATCAAATAATTTAATTTCCAACAAAATATCACTTGGTCGATTAACACAGAATTGCTTACATCAGCGAATATAATTCAATTTTTTGTAAATATAAAATAGCATATCATAAAACAAGAAAATGGGGGCAAAGCGAATAGGTTGGGAGAATTAAACGTAATCAGAGAACCAACAATATCAGACCAGAGAAGAGAAATTTTTATTTATAAATTATTTCATTAAATACAATGGTTTAGTGGTCTGTCTAGGCGACATCTCAAGCTGGTTAAGTTATAACGAAATTTTTATTATTTGCATTACCTAGTTAACCAACAATCAAAAATCGGTTATATGACCTTTCTTCTATAAGATCTTGAATTTTTGACCCATGATTTGGGGGGCTACCCAGTATACAATAAAACCCATTTCCTTATTTCTAGTTTATACAAAAATCGCCTCCTAGGCAAGATAGTTGTATTAAAGGAACATTTTATTTCAAAAGATTGTCCCAGGATTAAAAAAAAAAAATGAAAACCACCAACTTTCGACATGCAACAACTTACTCAAACCTATTTGGATGCACGCGTGTCAAGTTTATGAATCGGGCAAATATTCCAATATTCTAAGATTGTAAAGTTTTCAATCCAAAATTTTACGATTAATTATTTCTGCCCCTTTTATCTAAACAATAACAAACTTCACAGAGAGCTTCACATGCCAATAGTTTTTTCATCCATCAAAACATATTATAGACATTTTCATGGTACATAACAAAATCACTCTAACACATAAATACGGTTACTCCACACCCCATAATTGCTTAAAATTATCAAATAATTTAATTTCCAACAAAATATCACCTGGTCGATTCACACAGAATTGCTTACATCAGCGAATATAATTCAATTTTTTGTTTAAATATAAAATAGCAAATCATAAAACAAGAAAATGGGGCCAAAGCGAATAGGTTGGGAGAATTAAACGTAATACGGATGGACTGGAAATATGGATAACGGTCCTCTTAAATAATTAATATCATTTTATTAATCCAGAGCATCTGCCAATGGGTAGCTTTCTCTGTAATGCTCTTAATGCTACAAAATAAATTGAAATCCAATCTGCAGGTTGTTTATAATACATTCTTAGATTCTCTCGTGAATCTGTTTTCAAAAGCTTAGAACTTAACTTAGCCTAAGAACTACAAAAATCATTCGCCGAACTTAATTATATGCTTTGTTATGGGAAAGGATATAGATCATTAATTAAATGGAACATTAAAGAGAATCTACATTAAAGAGATAAACCCAAACACTATCCTTCCTTTTACTGCCCGAAGTTTGCATAATAATAATAATAATCCATTTACGTTTTCGTAGTCAATTGACCAAATTACTTCTTTCAATCAATTAATTATTCTTTCTAAGGTCTTGGTTGAGATAAAAAAATCAGTGTCACGAGCGGGATTCGAACCCACGACCTTCGGCTAAATACGCCGCTGCTCTACCACTTGAGCCATCGTGACTTCTTCTCGGACACCAACTCTCCGCGACACTGACTTTTTTATCTCAACCAAGACCTTAGAAAGAATAATTAAATGATTGAAAGAAGTAACTTGGTCAATTGACCACGAAAACGTATATGGATTAATATTTAAAAAGAAAAAAAAAACTATCACTTCACGAAACAGCTCCCCTTCATAAGTCGCTGAGAATCCAATCTGATTACAAGACATTTGAAAATGGCAAAAAGAGGGAAAAGTCGAACGGTTGTAGGTTGAGATGGAGATTCGGTCCGAGTGGATCGAAGTCACGATAGCTCAAGTGGTAGAACAGCGGCGTATTTAGCCGAAGGTCGTGGGTTCGAATCCCGCTCGTGACACTGACTTTTTATCTCAACCAAGACCTTAGAAAGAATAATTAATTGATTGAATGATTTACATAATAAACTGATTAGATTATTAATTTTTTAGTTTTAAATGGTTAACGTAAGATAAAAATGTTAAGAACTTTCAAATATTATATTTTATCACTGATAGCTCACAATAATTTTTTTCTCAATAAAACGGAATGTTGCACGAGAAACTTACGAGGGTAACTTAATACAGTTGTAGATAAAAATAAATGAAAAAATGAATAGGTGATTTTATTTGTTTTTTAGGGGAAAAATATTTAAACAACTCCAGTTATCAAGGCCATGTTATAGGAGAGATTTCTTCATTCTCCTGCGCATTTCCTGTCGTCCAAACAATAATTGGCGGCAGATTGTACTGATTCTGCCTTTTCTCTGATTATTCCAGCTCCATCGAAACGTCTGCCACATTGTCCAGTTCCGATATGCTTGTATGTAGGGTCGCAAGTTGCAAAACTTGCTGTTCACAAACAGCAGCCTGGCGACATTAGTCCTGCATGTGAGACGCCAGGAGGACCACGCATACTGGAGCATCGGCCTGACCACCACTTGTACTGGAGAAGTTGACTGGCAGACAAACACAGGTTAAATTCTAAGCTGTGGATGATCTGGTGATACTTTGTTTCAATACAAATTGAATAAAAATAAACGGATTGCTGCACTTTTTAAATTATGATCACGCTAGTAAAAAAGTTTCTGTATTTTTCTTCATCCTTTTTTAAGGACTAAACACACCCCGGATGTTTATAAGGAACGGTATAATAAATACATCAGTCTCGGCTTCAAGTCAGCTAGTTTATAATTTTCTGCTTACGGCCAATGTTTTTTTTTAATATTTTGTTTTTTTCGGTGTAGAGTTAAAAATCGGATTGATAGATAAAGTTCTAAGAATCGTTTGTTCAAGGAGCGGCGGAAGTCCTCGTTATTAATACGGTAAAAATTGCGTTTCTGGACAACAAAACCGAACTGAAAATAAGAAAATAACAACAATACGCAGTTTTACTCTAAATCACTTCTCAAATTTATAAGAAGTTCATCACTTTGTTGTCACATTATGAAATGTAATTCATGAAAATATTGCAGGATTGCAACACTAGACAAAATACGTGCCAAATAAAGCTACTTTCTTAGAATAAACCTCTTTTTTTTTACAAGTATTGGTAGTTAA